CAACACAACCAGCCTTGAAAGTCCATATATATATATATAATATATATATAATCTAACCCAAAATTTTGCGTAGCGTTGGCAGTAGACTCTAAAGCGGGCTAGGGCTACTGCCCCCTGCTAAGTGCAACTCAATTTGCAAGCACGTTTACTGTCATGCTGCCAAATGAAACATTACGGTCATCATCATGTTGACTGTCATGCCGAAGGGGGACATCCTGAAAACAGCTGCCAATAAAACTGCATATTTCAGCAGCATGCAGAGAGACACACCTCCCCACAAGACTCTTGTCCCACATGCATAAAATCGAGAGTTCTGAGGCTGAGGCGAAAGGCACATTCCCAAGTTGCAGACTTGTTACTTTCCTGAGGCAAAAAAGCTTGCCTCAGAACACGATGTATTCGCCTCCAGCCGGGAAAACTACTCAAGCATCGCTTCAAACTGTGGTGTGCCGCTTGGCCTTCTACTATCCGAACAGTTGTGATGGATTTGTTTGTGTGGGATTGCTCTGTCCCTGTCAGGACATGGTGCAACACACTTGATGAACTGCTGGCCCAGCAGCTTGAGATCCTCATCATTTCAGCAGCTTGGCAACAAATTTGCTGTTTACCTTTGTCAGCACACCCGACCTTTTCCAAAAATGCACATTGCTTCCAACCTCTCCAGATCCAAGGTCAGCATACTGAGCTTTGATAGCATAGTGCGACGAATTTGCAGCAGCATTGCTGCCAAAGACTCTGGCGATTCGCGGCGCCCTCAAGTCAGCCATTGAGTTCTTGAAATTAGAGACGCAGTCTTAGGTCACATCGATTGCTGGTGGTTGATGTGCTCTCCGTAAAGGCCAGTCGCCCAGACAGCCAAAGAAAGGTGCTCAACGGATGTTAAGACCAACTTGTTCACTGCTGTTGCAGGTGCATGCCAAGACCACCTTGCTTTCCCTTTTGCCTGAGAGCTGCGAAGCTTCACAGCAAGCCTGGTCTTGAAGGAGGCCAATGAAGTGCCACAAGAAATGACCTGTTGGTGTGGCCAAACCGCAAGCTGACAAGTGTTGCAACCTCTTTCAATCTGCAGTTGACCTGAGGATATCCTTTGCACACATCCAATGTTTGGCCCACAAAGTGGCAAGCATGGCTGGGCCGGCTTGCCTTTTGTATTCGAGCGCGTAAGGCTAAACAATGCAAGGACTGCCCCGACACGCCTTGTTGCCTGACCCCAAGCATGGCACCACACTCAACAAACTCACATGGGTGTGTATTATTTTCATTGTACCCGTACCACTGGGTCGGTTAGATAGATAGATAGATAGATAGATAAAAAAATGTATATATATATATGTATACACATAAGGTCTAGCTTTTCCTTTTTTGCCTCTCAAATTTCCATGGCATCCAGTGAAGTGAACCATGTTCTTCAAACCAGGAGATGTGAAGACTTCCTTAAATGGTGGGAGCGGCAAGGATGCCGAATGGTCGTGTGGCCCCAAGCGCAGTGCACAGCGAACGGCATTACTTCACGCTTGGACGTGCCAAGGACATGACATGCGAATTGCATGATGAAGTGTCAGCTGGCAGCCAGTTTGTTACTCACCTGACTGGGCGAATCCTAGAACGCTTGTCCTTGCGGACGACGCCTATCAATACGAAGGTGGGCTTGCATGGACATTGTAAGACGGACATCAGCTTTGGAATGAAACCATCAATACATGCAAATGTGGACCTGCAGGGCTTCGAATCTCTTCTGCAGCTTGTGGACAACACATGTGCAGATAGCTTTGATCTATTCTTTGCGAGACTTGACTGGATTAATCGTAGCTACTGAGCGAGCTGGTGGACTTGTTTTGACTTGATGTGATTCTGACTAAGGCTTTTCAAATACAATCCGAACTCTGCCGAGCAGCTAGCTGCAATAGAGGGCGCTGTCGAGGATCGGATCAAGCCTATACGCAAGGCAAGTTGTTGGACAGATTGGGAATGAAGGCAGTCACAGCAGTGCCTTGCAGGATGTGTCATCAAAGCTGCGCGATAAATGCAAATGATCGCGCCAAAGAAGACTGATTTTCCGCAGCCAAATTGCATGCAAACCTTCCCTCAGCCAGTGAAAACCTATAGCTGGCTTGTGGATACTTTGCTTGCCTGGCAGTATTACAAGAGCAGCGGGGGCTGGTGGGGAGCGATGGCTTGCCACTACTACATTCATTCATTTGTCATGTGTTCATGGCTGCATGCATTGTTTGCTGCCTTTCTGCTTGGTCATGGTGTGATGGTCGCACGTAACTTTGGCTCTTCTCAGGTTGTCGGCAATTCACAATCATGTGAGATTCCCAGAGTCCATATACAGTAGCCAGAGCCTAGCCAGAGTCCAGAGTATTCCATCCAAGCGTGGCAAGCCGTACATTTCAGATCATTTCAGCCAATAGCATATATGTAAATGTATGTATATGTATATATATATACAAAAAAGACATATATTTAAACACACGCACAAATATATATATATATACATGCACATAATATGCACCGTATTTTTCATTCTTTCATTTGCCAAGTTGTGCCAAAAATGTCCCGTGTGGACAGCACTGCAGGCTGTCAAGCCAAGGACGGCGATCCTTTCTTGTATCAAGTTAGAAGCAGGGGGAAGGCGGCATTTTTGGGACGATCCGGATTCCATCCACATGTGTGGAGTCCAACATTGCATGTTATGGTAATGCATGGTAGTACTTTGCTGTTTGCCTTTGATACTGATGCATCTATGTAAACATAACATGTGTGTATATATATATACATACGCATACACCTTACAGGGACACACACACATTATATATATACATATACATATGCACATGGCCAATGTCTTGCATGTTTTTGTACGACTCTTGAGCTAAACTTATACTTGTTTCGCAGGAGGATGGAGAGAAAAGGCAGCTGGACACTGAGACACCGAGAGATTCTTGAGTGCTATTCTTTTTTTGTTGGGGAGGGTGTATGCCGGGGAGATTAGAAGCACAAGGCGGTAGAAGTGAGAAGGAGCTAATACTTAGTCGCTTAAGTAGCCAGCAAGCGACAGGAAGCTACCAGAAGTTCTTATGATCGAAACGGTCCTTACATAAATTGCAAGATTCAGCCTTGTAATCTGAGTCTTGGGTTGACAACAGGTGTGGCAAGTGCCACCGTCGAATCTCGCTTGTAGAGTCCACCATCAGGCAAGGCTTGCTGCGGGGTTGGTAGTTAGCTGTCGATGATTCAAGAAAATGCCGATGTTTTTATGCGTGAAGGTGGAAGTCCACAGAATAGTAGATGACGAGCTCCGCAATGTTTTCGATTTGTTTTGGTATGTTTTCTCATGCCTGCATCCTTTGTCTCTTTGGAGGTGCAGATGCGGATTGTCCTTCTGCGAGCGCCACATGGCGGCGGAAAATCATGAGTGAGACACTTGGGAATCTAATAGCCACTCCGAGGCAGTGAGAGTGAACTCTTGTGTTCGAAAGTTGGCCTTATCTTGCCTGCCAAGTGCTTATGCCAGGTGTAAATTCGACTGGCGGCAGATGCAAAGGGAAAAGATCGCTAGAGAGAATCCGAAGGTTGGTGGGGAAGCAGACGCACAACTTTTGAAGCATGCATAGTCTGCTAGACGGAGGGGGCAGACCGGGCCGGTGGTTCGTCAGGTGACTCAGTCAACCTCGAAGATGAAGTCAAGCAAGGTAGCACAGCTCGCACCGTACATGTCATCCTTGATGTTTGATACGTCTGTGGAGGATTGGTGTGACCAGTGACCTCCCAGTTGGCCCTTCTATTGTTCCTTGGACTTTCGACACTCGTTTGATATCAACGATTATGTTGAGAAACGTCTGCTGTGTGAGCCAGGTACTGTAAACATCACAGTGTCTGGGCCCTGGAGCATAAAGGCATATGCTAGGTTTTTCCTAAGAATCTAGGAACCAAATGAATGGTGCGAGCGCTTCTTCAAGGAAGCCACCCTCAGGCGGAAGAAGCTTCCTTGAACAAGGGCGAGCGATCCTGCGTCCAGCAGGTTATCTAATTGAATCGGGGTTGGGGCAGCGGGCTCAAAAAGACAAAGTAAACATCACAGTGTCTGGGCCCTGGAGCGTGTTCCCCAATCAGATGTTCTTTAACATAGTTCCCAGGTGGCAACAGTTGGCGAGAGGTCCTCTCAAGTCATGCACCTGATGGGAGTTCTACTGCTGGCCTGCAGCTTACCATATCTATCGCCTCGTTTACTCTTGGGTCTGCGGCAAAGGGGCTTTCAGTCCAAGATTCTTTGTGATGGCCTGCTTGTCTCAGGTGGTCTTCAACCTTCGAGGCAACACACACACACATGTACACACACATACATATAATTACATATATATATATATATATATTGACCAAAAGCTGAAGCAGTAGATGCAGGACAAACTGCTCTTCCTTGTTCTCCTCTTGACTTGATGACCACAGCTCAATTCTTTCGATGGAGGAATCCTACACGCGTCAATGAATGCGCAAGTTATGCTTTGGATTCGGCAGTGCGGCTGCCTTGTTTTCCCTCCACGGGTTGAAGAGCTGTGAGGTACCTGACAAAAACATGAGCTGCCTGTATTGCATGTAAAAAGTTGTTGGCAACTGATGTCTCGTGCGGCATTTCATCATATTGTCTTTTGTTAGGGCCGTGCTGGGATATTTTCTTGGGCTTTTATGCGCCCATGCCTTGACCAGGCCTCAGTTAGACAACTTTTCCTAATAGCAGAATTTGCCCTACGAGGAAGAGGCGATTGCTTCTGTATCATCATTCGGACTCATCCCACTAGGGAACCCGTGCCATGCTCGAGGCTTGTGCTCAGTGTCGAATGCAGTGCAGCAATTTCCTCCCTTGCATGTTCTAGCGACCTGCGCCATCGCACACAGACATGCCAAATTCAAAGCAGTGTTTTCAAACCATTGAACACCTGCTCAAAGATGTAGAAGTTACTGAGTAGCCAAAAAGTGTGATTCTAAAGCATACATCCGTATTCAAATTTGTGCTTCCATGGGCTCGCAATGTTCTGTAGAGCCGAGCGACTTCAACGAGCAACGCTACAAGGATCCTTGGAAGCGTCATGAGCTTCTGTTTGATGCAGCCGCAGCAGCACGGTGTTCCCCAATACCTTGTTTGCACATACTCACAGTTCTGCCAAGGACTGTTGCCATCTTGAAGGTGAGACTCCCATCGAAATCAGGATGCCACTTCGTTAGCGGTTGATGTATGTTTGCAGCTATTCTCACAGCATCAGGATTGGTGGGCGACAGGCCAATGGAATGGCAGGCCCAAGCCCAAGTAAGTATCAACTTCAAGCGATGCTGGTAAGGGAATGCAGTGAAATTCACTTGCATCATTTTGCATCGGTGGCAAATCAAGATGATAGCGAAGTTTATATTGCAGAAATGGTGAGAATTACCCATAATATCCCATAATATATATCCTCACGGGTTTACATAACTTAAGACGGTGACACGTTTGTGAAAGACGCCACGTTTGGTAGCGAAAAGAAAGAAGACGTTTGTATAGAAGCCAAAGTTTCAAGTTCTTCTTGGTGGTCTCACTCTTAAGTGCCTGCACATCCTCTGCGGAAATGACACCATCACTGTTCCGGTCAAAACGATCAAAGGCCGATGCCCAACACTCACGAGTAAAGCCAGCAACGGAAGCACACTTTTAAGCCGCACGCGCTTCCCAGTGCGTAGAGCTTTTGTCGACGCACAGAGGCATCTGGGAACGTGCTCCGAAGCCACCACTGGGGTGCTACGTAGCACCACAACAACCCATTCACTTCTCCTTTATGGTCTCGCACAGTGATTGGCTTCGGAACCCACTTTTCGACATCAGACCACATTATCCACAAGGCCGGTATTGACCTGGATTCGATCGTATCCTGCCACCTGGGAACTGAGTTCTCCAGTGGGACCACATGTTGTCCACGCATGGCCAGGTGTGCAAATTGAACACAAACGTTAACGTGCCATCCGACCAAAAGCCTCGGAATCGTGGAAAAATTCTGAAGTCGTAATTACAGTGTGTTTTTCATCGACCGACGAAAACACGCGGGGACAATACGCGTTTTTCCGCGAGAAATTCCGAAAAGAAACTATCCCAAGAACGCGCAAATGACGATGAAAGTACACGTGAGGTTAAAACACTCACAGTCTTAAATCAACCGTCTGGATGTATATATATATATATATGTAATATGTATATGTGGGTGGACAAGCCTGCTGCGTGTAAAGTGGTGGCGGAAAGGATGCAACACGTGCACGCACACACTTAGATTGTTGCCCGCAAGAGCCAATATCAGTATGAAGTTCCCCTTGGCTTGATGGAGCGGAAGGAACGATAACCGAAAGGTGGCTGAGTCGAAGGATTTGGAGATGTTGAACAAAGTTTGAAAGTGCATTAGCCGTTTTACTGCAGGAAACAACGCATTAGACAGCTTGATAACAGTTGAAAATAGCAGGTACGTAGTTCTGGCGTCCCAGAACTATATCACTGTGCGACAGATGCGCCTTCGTTGGCTGGAGACATCTGAAGCACACTCCAGCCCCCTGCCTCTTTTTTCTGCGTTCCCCTGCCCCTTTTCTGCGTTGAGAAACTGTAAGTTAGTAGCGATACCAGGAGCCCTTAGTAGCAAAACCTGGGGGCCCTAGTACCGTTCTTCATGACTCAAAACCTTAGGCACAGGTGTGGACACACACACACACACTTAGATGATGGGTTTGCAGTTAACTCTGTTCCTCGGAGAAATGGACGAGGGAAAAGAAAGGCGAGTGAGTCCGAAAGAGTTGAAGATGTTTAACACAGGTGTTGCAGTCGCTCAGAAATCGCTGAAGGCGGCGGTGGCGCAGCTGCACAACGGTGGAAAAGGGTTTAGAGGTATATCGCGCAAGGACCATGACCATGAAATCAAATCACGGAGAATTGGAGTGACAGTGTGTGGAAAAAGTTCAGCAGGTACACCGTCAGACGTCTCTGACTGCTTCCCATGACATCACTAGCTTCGTTGGCCAGCGTTGTGATGCCATGCGCTGGCCCCCTGCTTGCAAGGTGAAAGAAACAAACTCTTAGGGAAAGAGTGTGGCACATACACACACATGCCGCAAGCGGCATGTCAGGATGTGTTCAATTGACCATTGCTGTCGTGCATTGAGTGCACCAGAATCTGGACATCTATATTGGCATCTGAAGGTAGATGTGCTGTCCAAGTCAGAGTTGCTCTCCAATGATGCCTGAATTTTGATGAATTTTCCACTGGTTCTCACAGGCCTGTTGTCAGCACTGCTTGAGATTCTCGGTAGGCTGGTTCCAAACAGGGCCGCATCCCTGCGCTTCTCCGCAAAGCGTGCCGCAGAAACTGGCGGCAACAGTGCCCTGGCAGGAGAACACAAAGCCAAGCGGGTTTTTGAGTGGGTTGCTATGTTTTAAAGCTTTGCTTCTTAGTTCACCTTTGCTCGCTGCACATGTCCAGGCCTTCTTGCCTGAAGCCGAAAAGCCACCTATGCCACGTGGCCTGCTCCTGAGCAACCCCGCTGTTATTGGACATGGGGTCCGAGCATGTCTCTGAAGCTCTCCAAGTTTGCCTGTACCAGGAGTAAGCAGCAGCAGGCTGCCTCCGCCTGTGATGAGTGATCCTCCACGTTCTCCATCAGATTCGAACGGATTTCTTGTAGTGCCTTGGTTTCAGCCAGCTGCACGACTAATCATTGTTTTGGTGCACCAAGATTTCATAGTTTACAAATAATCACCGGACAGGATTCAAACTTGGTAGTAGGAAGAGTGGAAGGAACATGCGCACTGTTTGGGTTTCTGGCCTGCCCAGTGCGAGTGTCTGACAGGATGACTTCGTGGTACCACCGGATACCGTTAATGGTCATCCAGGAGCAGCTACCTCCCACCGCTTAGACCCAGTGCCTGAAATCCATAACGAGACTCCTAGACAGGTCTCAAGATGTTGAAGTTCAAGGGGAAGATGGTTTTTCTTGTATTTATACCGGTAGGCCCTTCTCATAAATCATTCCTTTTCACTCCCTCCCTCCCTCCCTCCCTCCTTCCTTCCTCCCTTCCCTTCCCTTCCCTTCCCTTCCCTTCCCTTCCCTTCCCTTCCCTTCCCTTTCCTTCCTTCCTTCCTTCCTTCCTTCCTTCCTTTCCTTCTTCCTGTCATCAAAACCATGAAGAATACAGGACTGACAAAGTGTGTTTGCTTTCTGCAAGTTTGCACCAGGACTCCAGAACTCTGCAGCAATGCGAGTCCTGCAATCGATGAATGCAGGGTCCGAACGTAGACACTTTCCAGAACCTTGACCACAATCCTTTGCAACTTTTTTTAACTTGGTGGTCAAACAAGCCGTGCTCCCGTGCAACTTTCCATTGGGAAGCTTTGACACATTGCCTTGCTAGCAAGGAGATTGTTCGGCTCCAACAGTCAGGCATGGCATATTTCCAAAAACGTTGTTTGTGCTGTGTTGTGTGAATGACACACTGAGCGCATCCTGTGAAAGCCCAGAGCTTGAGCGACTTCAAGTAAGACCTTGTAAACGGACCGTCGGCACCCTGAGGGTTGGATATGGTTACCGAGGATTCCTTGTGCAAGGCAGCGTGGGACATACAGCGCCAAGTTTCAGTTTCAGACATTGATCTGGGGAAGGTGCCGATGTGATGATGTTGGCGGTGCAAGGACTTGAAATTTTAACTTACCAGTTGCAGTACAAGCCTGATGCAGAGAACAGCCATGAGGGTAGTGGTGTCAGTTCCGTAGCCAGGAGAATGGGCAACAGGAAATCCAAAACAGCACCTTCGCGGTAAGACTTCCCGCAAGTTGCTGCCACATGACATGGGTTGAAGTGAAAGCTCACGAGAAGCTTGAGTGGGCTTAGGGTAGGTAGCAGGACCGTCTCCAAGAGCCTGGAGGAAAAAACTGCACGAAAGCTTTGAAGAAGTGAACCAGTTCATAGTTCTTTCAAACGGGTGCTGTTAGACTGCATGAAGAAGCTGGCAATGCAAAGGCCGTACTGCTGTGGAACTCCCGCGTCATCCTGTCGCTTCTGTATATTTTCATGGGTCACGCCCTTACATCAACCTGACTGACACAGAGGGATGTGAAAAAGGGTGTTTTTGATGCACTCAAGGCAACAGGCAACTCCACAGTCATGTAGAAGTTGACCTGTCAAGGTAAAAGGGTCATGGCTCGTTCTTCACGGCAAGGAAGTGTTGTCCAAGCCTGACTGGTGTTTGGTAGCAGAATGGGAGCAGGCCAAGGCAGGGAGACAAGTGCCAAGTCATAAGAGAAGAAGGCATACAAAAGCAGAATCTTCAAGGTTATAAGTAATAGCCTACTAGATGGCTTTGGCAGGAGCATCTCATGTTTGCACTAACTGGCGGCAAGCGAAACTGCTTAACGCGGAAGCTGTATGATGGGCCAAGGACAGAGCTTGTTACCTGCTGTCAGTGAAACATTAAAGCCTTTTTATGTCATGTTTTCAGGAGCCTGCAAGCAATTGTGTCGACAGTTGCTGCCAGGCCAGGTCAGGTGTCAAAGCTTGTGATGTGCATGAATCATTACCACTGCGCAGGGTGCGAGAAGGCCAAACACTGGGTTTCAACTGCTCATGACTTGATGAGCATGCCTGAGCCCCGTCAGCTTGGGCGGGCGCCTTTACGCAGCTACATGGTGCTGTGAGCAAATTCAAATGACGGCGTTCCAGTTGCAAGATTGTCAAGATCTTTTGCCGGTGACAAGGCTGAACCTTTCTTTATCTCGCAGCTGACAGTGCACGACGTGGTCATGCAGTTGCAAAAGGGCAAAAGCCAGGGTGGCTGACATGACTTTTTCAGCTGAGTTTTCAACACGCCCCGCTTTTAGACAGCTTTTTATCAGCTTTTCCTCTTGCTCATAGGCTCAGATGATCAAGCCAGGAATCACGTAATTGCAGATGTTTTTCCACAAAGGCGGTCTGAATAGCCTGAACAAGGCTCAACAACTCAGAGAGAACAACAGTGTCAAGCTTGGCTCTTCTTTTCCACGGTGGCATCGCATGGGTTCCGGTAAGGGCCATTGGCTTCCGGAGCCGAAGTCAAATTGCTGGGCCTGGTTTCAGCCGCTGAGCGCGGAGCAGTCGACAGGCCATACCTAAATGCGAATCCCTTGTTTTGAGTGCTCTTCTTGCCTCTACAGGTCCTCGACCACGAGATGCAGCCGCGTTGCCACACAATGCGCATGCGCATCAAGAGCGGAACAGGAATGACCTATGGGGTCACAAGGCTTTCCGACTTTCACCAGCGATCTACGTGGGGCCCGGCTTGGGTGAGATGGTGATAGTTCAGGAGCTAAATAGCCAGACGCAGATCAAGTTGAGGCCAGGTCTCGTCCTTGATTGGTATGAGGGCCTCTTGGTCATTGAGTCATTGGTGCGCAGCTCTGAGCCCTGCGAGTGGCTCAACCAAGTCTCGGATATTTTTCAAAAGGAGAAATCGCAACGAACTCTCAGCTCCAGCCTTTACGTGAGCAAGAAGTTGATGGACGCCGCAGTCACAGGGCCACAATTTGTTACTAGAGAGGCTTGGTCTTGTGGCTTTTGTGGCTTTGCGTTCGTCATCCGTGTTATATACGCTTTTGGTTGTGGTCTTCAAGAACTGCATTCTGCCTATCGGATACCTTGCCCCAGGGAGCCACGTTTGCTCATCGTCGCTACCCTCTTCGAAGTGATAGTTCAGTGGCCGAAGCCGAGGGTATTCTTCCGGCTGGTTGGTACAAGGTGGGCAATCGAAGCGGATATATGTAATTTCCGATCACTGGAGTCATGCTACTAGGGGCTCCTGGCATCGCTACTAGGAACAAGGGCCTTACTATTAGGAACAAGAAGCTAGTAGAAACACTAAATATAACTTAATTGGAATTGAAATTAATTATATAGAATCTAATTAGACATATTCCGATCACTGGAGTCATGCTTTCAGGTGGAAAGCTTGCTGGAGTACTTACCACCATGGGAGGCCTTTGTGCATCCCAAGTGTGGCCTCTATCAGGACTTAGAATGACTCCGGATGAACTCAGATGAGTATTTAAAGGAAAGAAAGGAAGGACAAGCGGGCATGAAACTATCTTTGCTTGAACTGGTTGGGCTTGGCTTCAGATAGTGGCCAAAGGACTTTTATCTTGTGCTGTGGGCTCCCCCCCACATGATGGAGAGCTATGCTGAGACTCCACAAGGTTGTGAAGAGCACCCACATGCGACTTGGGAGCCTGATGAGTGTCTCCCAGATGATTTGGATGTAGCCCCAGCAAGGATTGAAGGTTACCATTTCGCTAATTTTTTTTTTGCCTGGGCAGGGCGCGCACGGGCGCACCGGCCAGGTGTTGCGAAAAGCTGCTAAGAAGCGGTGGGTGGAAGCACAAAAGCAGCGAGAGAAAGAGACTGGTACCTTGCAGAAGCTCTCCAAAGTGCCTCCGCCAGCTGACGAGGGGAAGGCTCACTCATGTTGTGTCCTTTCGTGTGAAGGCATTCGCAAGAGATGAGAAGACAAGAGTTCCATCCGACGAGGACACCCGCAGAAAGCGCCCTGGGGAGGACGTCCGTGACCTCCCTGTTTCCAAGTTAGCCAAGGCGTGGGCCCAGTGTATTAGGCCATCGCTAGTAGGTTTGGGGATATATATATATATATGTATAAGTCATAAAGAGCACCACGTGAGCTACATGTGCTTTAGGCATACTACTTGGACTTGAGCCGCCATGCCCACCATGGCCTTCAAAGCGAATTTGGAGATTTGCAGCCGGATGTTGTGAAGAGCCAAATAAAGGCAGGATGGCCAAAACATCCAAGCAGCCTGCCTAAAAGTACGGCGTACGGAGGCCTCTCACTGGGTCTGGCTGTTCTCTACTCAAATTGACACAGAATCCGGCCTGGATTTCAACTCTGTTGAGCGGAGAAATTCTAAGGTGAGTATCCGCGGCCTCATGCAGCGGCAGACCCTCCAGGCTGTTGTAGGAATTCATGCAGTTGTATGGAGGATTGGCATGTTGGGAATGTCTCTGGCTACTTGGTTGCGACTGTGACACGACATGCACGAAAGGAAAGGTCGGTGATATGCTCGATATCCCGGCAACAAAGCACCCAGATTCTTTCCAGAATAGGATGGCACCTCAAAGGTTTGTACACGTGGCATTCTTCAAACGAAGGAACAACATGGCTGGACAACAACATCCGCAACCAAGCTATCCAGAATACTATCGACAGCTTCAAGTGTCAGAACATACACCGGATTCGAGGGCAGGCAGGGTTGATGCCTTTTCTGCTGGCAAAAGTGTAATGTTGACATGACATGGTTTGAGCGGACAAGCCCTGAGGTTACGAAACAATGGTATTTCGAGCCAATGCTCGCATCACCGCCCAATGATCCATCGCACCAGTCGAGGCGGCAGGCCTTGCAGGCACCTTTCCACAAGCTGATGCTTTAATGCATGAGCCCCTGAAAGACTATATTTAAGGTGCACTATAGTCTAGTTGCTATGTCATACTAAGACTTGTATGTTTGTTGGAGACTCTATTCCATGGTTTGCCCGTGTGCTCGTTGAGGTTGCACAAATTGTACATAAATCGATGGAAGCAGCAGTGATTCCTTTGCCATTGGCAGCTCTCACTGAGGAAGGCCAGGCCAGATAGGATCTAGGAGTAGCAAGCCTACTGTCACCCTTGAATCTGCATCAGTAAGCACAAGTCTGGTCGGAGGTGCGCACGACATCCTGCAGTCGATGACAATCTTACAAGACGACGAAACCCCACGAGCACTTTAGTCTGAAATTTTGCTTTCTTGAATCTTTTTTTGGATAGTAGGTTGGAGGCCCCTTGTTAGTAGGTTCGAGGCCATCGCTAGTAGTACGTTGGAGGCCATCGCTAGTAGGTCGGAGGTCATCGCTACTGGGTCGGAGGCCATCCTACTAGGTTGGAGGCCATCGCTAGTAGGTTCTAGATTGGAAACCATCGCTAGTAGGTTGAAGCCTTTCATTCACTCTTCACTTTTGCTTACTCCAGGGATCGGACATTGGTGGACCTTTTCAGCCAGTGGCCTTTGAGAAGATGTCTGGTCCAGACTGGTGCCTTGCATTGGAAACTCATTTCTTTCAGTACAGAAATGCAATGCAGTGAACAATGGGCTAGAGGGGAGGAACCAGTTGAAGAGGAAGGCAGGAGAAAGAAAGGGTCGGGGGAGCGGGTAGGGGAGGTAAGGGGAAGAAGCTTTGGCTGTATCATGCCTCGTTTTCTTCATTGCCGGGTGGGCTGAGCCGCTAAAGTGTAAGTCAGCCAAAGCAAGTTGAGGTGCACCAGGTCTCCGGCAGATTGTAGGCTATGTTCTTGCAAGTTGCGTTCAGGGTCTATCGACACTTCACGGAAAGGATGCTTTTCTGTTTGTAGTGTTTTGTATTTTCGCACCTGCACCTCCCAAAGGAGTGCCAGTTGCGGTAGCTGTAGCGTAGGAAAGGTCAAATTCACACGGCTCAGTGTCCGGAGTTGTTTTCTGAGGCTTTTGGTGAATTCTACAACTGGACAGGTGAGCACAATTGCGAGGGACACCCCTCGCGCTTTTAAGGCAAGCACTGGCCTTTTTCTCGAAAGGTTCTTGTTTCAAGAGCAGTGCAGGAGTTTACAGCAGTTGTGCTCGTGCTTCTCACATCAGGCTGAAACCTTCAGCGTGCAGGTGGACTTCATTGGCTCTGCAGAGAATAGGGTTAGCTTCACCCTGCAGGTTGGCCCAACCAAGCCAGCTTTGCCAGAAAACCTGGCAGCCCCTTGAGCTAGCATTGTAGTTGAATCTTTTTCGTGCAGTCTCACGTCTTGGCACGTCTGCTTGTCTCTGAGGCTTTGACGGGACAAATTATGGACAGGGTGCGGTCTGCTTCAAACCTGATTTTTCCAGTTGAAGGCTTCATCAAGCAGGTCGGGCATGATCCGTAGGTGATATTTTTCATATCCTGGCTTGTGAGGTGCGCTTGATAGTTATATGAACAGCACCAATGCAAGAG